GCCTTACTAATAATAAAGGTCATGTGTTTAAAGGCCATGTATCTAAAGCCAGTAGCAAATGTGATAGTTTAAGGTGAATCTGTAGAAGCATTTCAATGAAAATCAGACCATGAGCATACATGCTGTAATTCTATCTATTTATTGTTGCACAAGAAATATCAGCTAATACAAGAACACAAGGAAAAAATAGGAGGTGTAAGAATCCAGAACAGGCAAATTTTCCTTTAGGACTCAACTTTCTGTTTTCTGTGTCAAATTATGTCTCTATCTCCTGGCTCATCATCTTCCTTATGCTTCTTGAAAGTTATGTTTTAATATCTTCTCTCACAAATTTTTTAGTTTGATAATTGGGAGAATGGCTTTGCTATGAATTTAGGAGGGGCATCTCATTTCAAGGAAGGTGATGCATTAGATTGTTGTCTCATTGCTATAAAACCTATCTTCACAAAAATAATCTTCAGTAACTCCTGGGACCTGTCTGGAATTGTAATAGCATTTTGTGTTTGTCTCTATTGACCAATAAAATTGACTTCTCTTCTTCCTTAGAGTGTCTTTAAACTTTCAGGAGTGTTGTAGGGTCTCAGGTTTGTCAAGTATATCTTGTGCAGCAGTATGTGCTGTCACTTGCACGAATGCTTGGGCATTTTTTAAAATACCATTTAGGAGGAGGAATTGTTCTACCCTTTTTCCTTTTTGTTCCCCAACAATATCAAATTAAATTAATTTGATTTCTCTATATACTTTTAGTTTCAAATAATTTGTTTGAGCTTTCATGTTCAAAGGTTATACTACCTTTGGCTAGCTTTCTGTGTTTGTTTTTGATGTATTTAAATAGTTTCTTCTTGATGATTTTGGATTATCCTGGATGATGTGTCTTGAATTGTTTATTGATATTAATTTTTAGTTTGTATTTGGCACAGCACAATATCTCTACTCTCTCCTTTTTGTTGAAAATAAATATTAGGGGTGCCAAAATCATTTTCACCAGGGGCCACATCAGTCTCATGGTTGCTTTCAAAGGGCTGAAATAATTTTAGGACTGTATAAATGTAACCACTCCCTAACTGCTAAGGAGTTGAAATTACATTTGGCCCTTTGAAGGCAACCACGAGGCTGATGTGGCTGTTGGTGAAAATGAGTTTGACACCCCTGATATATATATACACCATATTTTCAGACTAAAAGATGCCCCCCCATTTGGGAGGAATAATGGTTATTAATGCTGCTGTTGGGTTCTGTTTACATTGGTGAAATATTATGTTATTTATATTATTAAATATTTTACCACATTTTTTGCTTCAAAAATTTTTTCCCAATTTTCCTCCTCTAAAACCTAGGCACGTCTTATGGTCTGAAAAATGTGGTATATACCTACCCCTCCACACACATTTGCAGTGATTGAAAAGATTCTTTGGCCTTCTGCAACAATAATCTATATAATTTTATACATGATAATCTAATTTCAGTGTTACAATAGAGAATAAAAAGTTCACTTGTTTCTGAATCAGAGAAACAGGTGAAACATGGCCTTACATGTGGGCACAATAAGTAATTTTACAGTGTAATTTCAGGAGTGCTTAAACAGCACAGAGAAGAGAGAGTTGTGAGGACATAAGGCATCTGTGAAAGGAAAAGAAAACAAAAGAGATGGGGGTTTGTAAAGACTAATTTTCTAGGTTTCAGAATTTTGCCAGCAGTATTTTACTTATGCAGAGGATTTGGGCAATATTTCAGTTGCATTTTGATTTGAGATCCAGAATCCTTCATGGTATAAACAAATTGCATTTATCTTTGTTTTCTACAAAAACAGTTAAAAATAGTAAAGTAAAAACAAGAATGCACAGCTTTTTCCATGCAGAAAATTCCTCCCGTATTAAATTATATAAGTATGTCTTTTTAATGAAGAGTCTTGAAAAGAGATAGTATGTAATAGTTTTTCCTTTTAGGAGGGACTCAGATTGTTAAATGAAAGCACTATTGGATGGGTTTAAGAAAGAAAACTTTATTATTTTATGAGTAGAAATTCAGGGTCCCTCAGAATGGCCGCCACATATAAACTGGAATTAACATTTGTAGTTTTCTCAGTTTCTCAATTATACTATAAGCATGGACCAGAGCCCTAGCTACTGAGGACCTGAGAGTTGGGTCTCAGAAAGTGAGTGACCTTAGGTGACAGACAGTCTTGGGAAAGCACTAATTTTGAGAGACTGGAAGGTACCTCTCCAGGTAGGGGGTGTATCTTGGAGGCTCAGTGGTAAAGAGAAAGAAAGAAGCAGCTGAAGTTGTGTTCAAAGGAAATAAGGTAAATGAAAAACAAAAAGAGAGAGACAAATTCAGTTCCTACCACCGTAACAAAAAATACCATTTATTGAAGAAACTACACTCCAGTGTAGTCACAGAGGAGGGCACTGTTGAACTGGGAAACCTAGTAAGTCAACTTATCTCCCTTCTTCTTCCCATAACAGGAGATATTGCTGGCCCTGGAAAAAAATTATAAATTATCTTTAACAGAAAAAGAAGGAAGTATCAGTACAAGTTACTAGAGAGAGAACATGAAAGGAAAAATAAAAAGAAAAGAAAACCACAAAACAGGAAAATGGAAACACAGCACTCGAACATGAATAACCTATATTAAACACATAATTACATTATGAAATGACCCCATGTACAAGGAAATGAGACACTTCAATATTCACAATTGAAATGGACAAATAGGATGATGGATGAAACAGGAGCTGACTGAACTCTAGAAAGAAATTATGAAAAAGTACCAAAAATCATTTCAGAAATGAAATCTAAATTACAGGGTACCCAAGGGATGATAGATGTTACCAAAAGTTTAGTAAAAGATGTGAAGAATAGAAATGAAAAAGAGTAAAGAAAATGGAACTTGAAATAAGAGAGATAAAAGGACAGGGGAAGTGATAGAGAAAATCTAATATATTCAGTTCAAGAACTTGAATTAGAAAAAATGAAAAATGAACAGAAGCAATATTTTAAATTATAATGAAAAAACTTTTCAGAAATAAAAGGAGATCTGAATTTCCATATCGAAAGGACTCTCTTGTGTCTGGGAGAACTGATCTAGAACAACTAACATTTAGCTGTATCTTAGTACTAGACCTTACAATACAAGGAAAAAAAGACCACTTGATTCTCCAAGCCAAAAATAAATAACTTAACATTTTAAAATAAATTAAAAATGAAAATAATTAAAATGGAAAGAAAATTAGCTTGACATCACACTTCTAGTAACACATAAAAAATGACAGGTAAACATTTTCAAGAAATTAAAAATGATTAATAGTTTTAATTTATTGTGAAACATTGAGTAAGTAAAAACTCCTACATCTGTAGAGATACCCAAGATTATTTGTGAATTGCATTTTGTATGACTTTTTAAAAATGTCCTGTGGTTATTAAATTTTCAAGCCTTTTTGTTTGATGTATGCGGAAGTATTTAGATGTGAATTGTTATGTCTGCAACAACAAAATAAAGAAAATATAGGAACATGTTTGGAATTTTTCCTAACAGCTACTTGGCATTTAAAAAATGTCACTCAATTTGCTAGATTTCCATTTTTTTAATCCTTTATGTTTATTATGTTTATTGAGACATTTTGTGATTAAAAACTTTTCCATCTTAATACATGTTACTTTAGATTTTTGAAATATACAACAAAGAGTGTCTTTTTCATACTTCTGTATACTGTTAGAATTACTTCAGTGATTCAATCTTGATTTTTTAGCAGATATGGGTTGAAGCTGCTGGTGCTTTAACAGGGATCAATCAAGACACTGGCACCCATCTGTACTGATTAGCCATTCATCGTATTCCTCCCCATAACAGACATGTAGTGAAAAAGAAACACACACAAGTATGTCAGTTTCATACACACACACACATACACCCCTGACTGGGGATTGAACCTGCAACCTTTTGTGTACAGGATAATGCTCCAACCAATGGAGCCACCTGGCCCGGGCTCAAGGTTTCAATTTTTATTAAGTTGCTAAGTTGATGTGTAATTTACAGAGAAAAAAGGTAAAAGGAACTTTAAATATGTTTAGGTCTTATTGTTTTGACATGTGATGTTTATTTGTTATTTTGAAAAGGATCGATAATTTTTAAAAAATTTCTAATTCTCTTCATTTGGGGAGATTTTATTTTTATTCCTATTCTGCACTGTACTATTGTAGACTGTAGTAGCCAACTCTGCACTTTACAATTTTACATGTATTATGCCAATTCTGCATCTTATTGTAAATGTAGATATTAAAGAAAATGTTTCCATATAAAATAACCTCTCAGAAAATTATTGTTTATTTTATTCCTATATTTATTCTGCAAACATTTACTGAATTTTTATTATATGGTAAACATTGGATATACAAAGAAGAATAAGACATGATTTTTGTCTTTAAGGAGGTAAAAAATGTGCCTAGATAGGTCTAAATAAATTATTATACTTGAAAGATGGGTAAATACAGAAGGAGTTGATGGTTGATCCAGACAGGAAACAGAATGGAGAAAATCAGAGCTGAGGAGCTGCAAGGCTCATTGGTGGGAGGGCCGGCAGTAGTTGGAAGTGGGTGAAACAGTAGACTGGTACCTAGAGAAGGAGGAGCTAGTGATGAGGCTGGAACATGGTTAGAACACAGATTTTGAAGACCTTTACTATGATAAAAACACACCATATGAAAAGAGAGTTCTTAGACATTTTTAAGTCTTTGAGTGAAAGCTTAGGACCTGAGAATATTTGGTAATGTTAGTTAATCTTATTTACATGGTTATTAAATGCAATCTGAATGCATTTATAACTATATCCTTTGAAAATTCCCATTAGGTGCTTCTTCATAGATTATAAATAAATACTGATTATTTCAGAAACATCAAGTATATATTTTAATATCTTTTGTATCTGCCATATTTAAATATTTGCCATATTTAAAATAGTACTTACCCAAATGCTTTGTGTTTTTTAATCCCTTTTCTCCAGCTCTAAGGAAGACTGGATGGATGACGAGAAACTAATGGAACCCCTGAAATATGCTGAACAACTTCCTGTAGCTCAGATAATACACCAGGTTTGCTTTCCAGTTTATTCTTTTGAAAGAAACAAGATTTTTAATCCCTGAAAAATAATTGCTTTTGTTAGGTTTTTCAGAATCATTGTGCTGTAGCTGAAAGGCATTCTAGGCCATCTATCCCTGTTGAGACTCCACCTATTACATTTGAAGTCTCATTCAAGCACAGTATTAAAAGGCTACTTGCTGTGTATCAGTAGGATTTTTACTTATATAAAACATGGGGTAAAGTCAGAATGATCTTTTGTGCATTACTTAATAACAAGACTTAATTTCAGAAAACTTTCATTTGAACCATTTTATATAATACTCGTTACTGACAAGAAAAAAGAGCTGAAAAAATATAATTTGGAGTGATTTTTTGACTAGCTAAAATGAGAAAACAGTATTTCCCTACTTCTTCCACCCTACCCCATTATCATCTCTTGTGAAGTGTAATTTTGAATGTCACGTGGGCAGTTTTTTCATTTCCAATTATAGTGACTCTACGTCCCTTCTACATAACTGTAATCTTAGAGAGAAGGCCATGTGGTGAGTATTTAAACATATTTTGTACTGTGATTTTGACAGGACATAAAGTCTGCCCTGCTGGGCTAGAATCTAGAATTTTAAATGGGTTGTTGACAAGAGTCTGGCCTTTAGACATATCGGAATTTTCAGAATCTATAGATTATAGGAAATATTAAAAGTCCATGGAGGTCAGAATTTTTCAGAATTTTAATGAAAGTTATTATTCTGAGTCTTCCTATATGTCTTTGTTAATCACAAGAATTTTTATTTAGCTCATGTGAGTAGAGTAGATGTGCCTGTTTGAACTTTCTGAAACACACAGGCTTTTACTTTAAAATGTTGGCCATGTTGATCTTTTCAGTGATGTTAAAATTCAATTTTGAAATTCTGTGAGAAATTACAAAAAAAATGGTCAGAAATTTGCCCCTTTGGGAAGCCTGTCTGTACCTGTTGATCTGGTCCCACTTACACGTCAGGAATTCCCTAGTGTTGTCAGAGCCTAAATGACCTAACAGCCTGCAAATGTCACATTTTAAATTCTGCCTTCATGCCTGACTCTCGGCATTAATGAATTAAATAGCAGAGCAGGCAGCAAGTCAATATGTTCTTAACAGTAAGAGTGAGCAATGAAACAGTTTGTGGTTTGTTCAGAATAGGTAAATAGATTCTGCCCAGAACAGTTCACCTAGAATAAAATCTGAAACAAAAAACAAGAATTAACCTTTAAGATGGTTGACCAGAGGAAATGCCATTCATATTTTTGTAGCAAGAATGATCCAATATATTTTGGATTATGTAACAATCACATTTTGCTATTATACACCATATGAATTCAAAGATGAAAATTTTTGACCCTTGTAAAAAATTTTATTATATTTTTGGCAGTATAAAAAGTTGTATTAATTTAAGCACTGAATTATGAACATGGTAATTATCATTCTGTAGTACTTGAATTTATAAAATTTTAGTTTTTTAAGAAAGTTGTGTGATACAGATTCAGTTTCTTTTATTTTTATTGAGTAAAATTCTGTTCTCAAGTGGTAACAGGAAAGGTCATTGTTAACTCGACTTACCTATCTCTCTTGTTGCTGCCTGTCACTGACAGCAGCGCAACTCCAGGACCATTGCAGTGCTGTCTGTTTGAGTGGTCTTTAAGAAACATGGGTTATGTTGCTGGAAATTCACTTATAAGTGGGTTATTTGACCGTAGTTTTTCCCCGTGAGTGCATGTGATAATTAGGTTCAGCCAATCCCACAAAACCTTTTTAATTTGTGATATATCTAAATTATAGTATTATTATAGTATATATGTAAGCTCTACCTGTAATTACTTTTATACTGTAAGTAACTGTTTTTCCTCTAATCTTGACACATGCTTTATCTGTGCTTATTTCGGAGCATGTATGATTTCTGTTTGAAATGATGTTATTTATTTATGTCTTATATCTCCTATTTGATTGTCTTTCTGGGCATTCTTGTTTTCTTGATATTCCTTTCAGCATCTTGCCTTGTATGCGTGTATCTGAATGGCTGGATGTGTGTTTTTAATGGTACACTGAGAGTCAAGAGCACTTTCTGGAGCTGCCCCAGATATCAGGAGTGAGGGACTTTCTCTGGTCGCAGTTTAGAAGCTGCAGGAAAGGAGGAGCAGGAACAGGAGCTGTAACACGAGGAGCAACTGGAGAGACAGGAGAGAGAGGAATGGGTCTCAGTCAGTTGAGTCACTTCTTGTGTATGTCATTCAAACCTCATTTTATTATCAGGAGTTAGACAAGATTCTTTTCATTGCTTTTTTTTTTTACACTGCCAAATTATTTGCCATTTTTTAGGTATCCTAGAAAATATGATTTTACATCTAGGAAACCTATGAGACTCAAGTTATAAACAATAGAATAATAAGAGAATCTGTGAGATAGCCATACATAAGTAAAATTGATAGCTTTCCTGTATTTGCAATACGCATACAGAATGGAAAATTAGAAAAATTTTCCTTCACAACAATGAAGAGAACTATAAAATACTTAGAAGTAAATTTGACAAGTATACCATAGGACTTATGTAAGAGGGGGACGCAAAGGAACCCTGGAATTATCTTCTGGAGGCTGGGCTCCTTGTAGTACAGGCTTCCTCTGCTAGGTGAGTATCCTAGGAACCCATCTGTATTAGCTGGTGTTGTTGTGAGAGGTTGTGTTTGGCTTAAGTGACTTTTTTTTTTAAGACTCTTTCAAGGCATTTGCCCATTTCATGTCAGGTAATTTATAGTGCACCTGCCCACACCTTGCTGAGTGTTTAGTGGTTTTTGATCAAAAACAACATGGCCCCCGTGCCACCCTTCCTATTTACCTGATCTCACCTCAGCAACTTTTTTTTATTTCCCTGGATGAAAATAGTCCTCAAAGGCAAACATTTTGCCCATGTGGAAAAGGTGAAACAAAAAACAAAAAAAGGCATAAGCACTAAACTAAAAGACATCAAAATTGAGGAGTTCAGAAACTGTTTTGAGTAGTGGGGAAAAAAGTCTCAATAGGTGAATTACATCAAATGGAGAGTACTTTGAGGGTGACTGAAGTTTAAACGTGTAAGAATAAATACAGAATTTTTTATAAATAATTGGATTCTCCCTTTGTGTGGTAACCATGGAAGCATACCATGTTTCATAAACAGAAAGATATACCAAATTATTTGATGGTATGGGGAACTTAATATGATAAAAATATGATTTTCCCAAATTAGCAATTCTAATTAGAATAGAAGCAATGTTTTTTTTTAATGTTAGGGGAAAAAATGACCACATAGTTTATGTGGAAGAACTAATCCAATAATAGCCAAAGAAAGAATATAAAAGAGAGATGCACCTGCCTTACCAGATGTCAGAACACAAACACTATAAGGTAACACAGTGGAGAAGAGGCTTTCAAATTTTCCCTGTTGTAATTCACTGTAAGTACATTTTACACACACAACAACACTTGATACATATATTTGTATGTATTTAAAAATAGGAATATTTTGTGAAATATATACCCTCATTACATATGATGTACACTATTATTTTTCTATTTTCTATTTTCAAAAATACCAAATAAAGTCTACAAAATTGATTTCAAAAAGCAACAAATAATCCTTATACGTGTCTTATAGGACACTAGAATAGAGAATCTAGAGGACAAAAATCATTATATTTGATCATTTAAAGTATGATTAAGATGGTATTTCAGTAGGAAAAGGGTTAAACCCAATTTGTACTATATATGAAGTAAATTTTGTATACATTAAAGACTTAAAATATAAATTTTAGAAGAAAATTTAGAATCTGCAAGTACAGAAGACCTTAATGAGCACAAAAACCAAGAAAATATGTTTAGCTCTATAAAAACGTAATATTTTTCTGACATAAGGTACACCATTAGAATTAAGACAAAATGTTTACAAAGAAGACAACAATAAATTGATGGCTATGTAAAATATATAGAGAACCCCTAGAAGTTTATAAAGGCCAACAAAACAATTTAGTATAAATAAAAGATGAAAAAGCAGTTTAGAAAAAACAAACTAAATGGCCAGTGAATGAAAGAAAAGAGCCACAATCTCAGTAAGGAAGTGGACATTACAAATTCAGTGATGTTATTTTATGTCCATTGAATTGGCAAAAGTTAAAATTATGCTGTGTAAAACAGTTTGGCATTTCCTCAAAAGATACAACCTAGTTTCCATATGACCCAATGATTCCAATTAGATAGATAAAAAACATGCATCCACACAGAAACCTGTACATGAATGATCATAGCAACATTATTCATAATAGCCAGTAGTTGGAAATAACCCAGAAGTCTCTCAACTAATGAATGGATAGATAAAATAAAGTATATCCATATAGTGGACTCTTATTTGGTAATAAAAAGAAATGGAGTGCCGATACTTGCTACAACATGGATGAGTCCTGAAAACAGTATGTTAAAGAAGCCAGTCACAAAAGACCACATATCATATGGTTCCAGTTATATGAAATGTCCAAAGTAGACAAAACTGTAGAGACAAAAATAGATTAGTGGTTGCCTGGAACTTAGATGAAGGGGGGAATGCAACTGACTTTTAAGCGGGCCCAGGGTGTCTATCTTTTGGAGTGATGAAAATGTTCTAAAACTGGACAATGGTGATCATTGCATAGCTCTCAGAATATATTCCAACCATTCAATTATACATTTAAAGGGTGAGTTTTATGGTATATGAATTATTGATATATCTCCATAAAGATTTTTTTTTAAGTTAAAATCATCCATTTCTGGCAGAGATGCTAGGACGAAGGTACTTGTGTACCTGATTGGTAGATACCTGAATTATTTTTATTGTGTTAGAAGCCATCTTGCAACATCTCTTCATTATTTAATATATACACATCCTTCAAGCCAGTGGTCCCATTTATGAGTATCTAGCATGTACTACTAATATATAAATAAAAGAATTACTACATGAGAATCTTAGGACAATGA